AAAACATAGATCCAAGTTATTTAGGGTTGCATGTACACTTAGGAGTGTTAGAATGCTCATAACCCAACAATAGGATGCTAAGTGCCAAGTGAAGCCTCGAGCACAAACGGATCCTATTAAGCATATAATGATACATATATGTATATAATTAGTGTATATACATCTAATCATGCAAGGAAACCACCTTAGGGACTAGGAAACACTTATATTGAAGTGTTACAATCACATATGATTTCATCAAAGGGGTTTAAGGCCACACAAGTGTGTGTACGGCCAAGGTGTGTACGGCCACATGGGTGTACGGTCATGGTGTGTACGGTCGTACACTCATGGAAGAAGTATGAAAAAGGGTGTTTTATGGCCCTATCTAGCATCCACTAAGTGTTCATGATCCTAAGTTGGGACATGATGTGAGTTTAAGGTCATATCATGCACTTAACAAGGGTTTACGGCCACATGAGGTGTGTACGACCGTACACCCTTGGTGTTCATGCATTAGATGATGATTTAAGGCTAGAAATCAAGTGTTTCACAAGCCTAACTAGAAGATAGAAGAGAAACTCACCCTTTTGAAGGCCCCTAAAGAGTTCACGGCCCAAGAACAAGTAGGTGTTTTTGGTGTTCTTGGTGAAAGTGTTGAATACTTGAAGATCTACCAAAAAAGACAAATTTCATGGATGAAATCAAAGGGTGATACTAGATCATGAAGGATAACAACTAAGAAATGGAAAGAATTCTTACATTTTTGAAGATCAAGGTGAATTGCTTGATGATACTTGAGAGAGAATTGGCTTTTCTTGACTTGGAAGTGTGAGAAATGAATAGAAATGAAGGTATAACTCATATATGGACATGAGTTCACGACCATAATGGGAGTACGGCCGTACACCCATGTGTAAACCATGTGTACGGCCGTACACTCTTCTTGAAGGAATATTTGGCTTGAATGAAACATGATGAACTTAAGTAACTCATTTCTAAACCCTAACTTTGAATGTACAAGGCTTAGAACACTTAAACAGACTCTAAACAATGCTAAAAGATGGCAGAAACGAGTCTGACTTTGATTGAATTGAATGACTGTACAAGATAGAAATTTCGGGTTGTCACAGTAATCATATATAAACTAAATTTCAATATTAAAATAATATCTTTACTTTTACTTATAAAGTTATATCTTTAACTTTTAACATATTATACTTAATTTATTAGTTTAGTTGTTGTATCTAAACCATTATCATTTTAAAGCTACAACTTTTGAACAGATTGGATAAAATACTTAAATTGTTAATTTAAATATACTATTATAGGGTCAACTTAAATATAAATTTTAGTTCAACTTAAACAACCTGAAGAATATTTTGTAAAAAGTTAAAGGTGATAAATTGTAATGTCTTTATATTAAGGATTATAAGTTGTTAATAAAGTTAAATAAATATCAAACCTAAAGTGTAATCATAAATAAACTAAATTTCAATATTAAAATAATATCTTTACTTCTACTTATAAAGTTATTTCTTTAACTTTTAACATATTATACTTAATTTAATGGATTTAATATGTTGTTGTATGTAATCATAATCAGTTTAAAGCTACAACTTTTGAACAGTTTTGATAAAATACTTAAATTGTTAATTTAAATATAACATTAAATGGTCAACTTAAATATAAATTTCAGTTCCACTTAAAAAAACAAAGAATATTTTATGAATAATTAAAACTGATAAGTTCCAGTGCTAAATGCAAAAAATTAAATTGTAATCTCAGTTTAACTAAAATATTTCCTAAAGATATTTTTATAATCATTAAAAAATTTCAAATAAATAGCTTACAATAACAATAGTTAAAAATACACTATATAAATGATTATATTGTTATTTTTAAAAACAAAAAACAATGTTTGATGTTTTAAACAATTATAATGATAGAAATTAAAACATAAAGCTAATAAATTTTAAAAAATTAATTAACAATAACAACAACTATAAATAACATTAAAACATATATTATTTTTATTTTCATTTATGAGTAACCCGCGTGTAGAGGTAATTCAAACGACATTATTCAAAATAATCAATATATTATATCAACTTAGTATACGAATTATTATATCAAATTTAACAACAATGTTATTGTTATAGTTAAGAAAACATATATTTATAAAGATTTCAACTATATAGGTTTTTATGCGCAACGTACGAGCATTCGCATAGTACCTCATAAATATATCATTCATCCATGAAACAACATGTGATAGAAAGCAAATAAAAATCTCATCAGATAGCTCGTCCATGTGGCTTGGGTCACCAAAATTACTCATTTTTTTTCATTTAGTTTGTTTTTTGGTGAGCAGATAGCAAAAAAAAAGCCCAATCGGGATATGCAAATAGAGAAATTAAATATCCTCTTATAATTTCTTTCTACCATCCTCTTACCCATGTCAAATGATGACACGTGTCATATTTAATTTTTCTAAATAATATTTTAATCCAGTTGTCACCATTTAATATGGATAGGAAGATAAGTAGGAAGAAATTATATATTGTATTTAATTTCTCATGCAAATATGATTTAAAATATATAAAATATTATATAAAGTTTGCTAAGTTTTTCACTTTTTTGGAATCAACTTAATTTCAATTTTAAATAGGCAAGTATGATTTGAAATATAGAAAATATTTTAATGTAAAAGCATTTATTTATTAGTAAAATCT